TATTGCAAGATTAAACTTGACCGTTTTTAGAATCTATTTGATGACAGTTAGAAAAATTTCAGCTTGAATTGTACAACTGAAATTGAGGTTAATTTGCAATTTTTTTTGTTTTGCAACAATATAAATGTTTAGCAGAAATTGCTGGAATTAGATGAGCGATAATAATTTGATCTTAACTGATTGCTAATCTGTAGAATACCGAACAACCTTATTGTATTTCTGTAGCAGTACGGTCATTTGGTCACAGCAGGTCAAAAGTTGCAGCGCCCTATCTGATTGATATTTGGCAATGAAATTTGTGTATATTTATAGCAATGATCGTTCAAGTAAGGGAATAAACAGAGCAGTGATCGGGTTGTAAAATCTAAGAGATCGCCAGCAGTATTCAAATCAATGTCAAATGCTGGGAAAAAAAAAAAAAAAACTGCTGCTCTATTGTCTTTTTAATGGTTTCCCTTCAAAACTTCTGCCACATTTGCCAGTGAGTAAGCAAAACTGTACCAAACTTTATTTTTTTCAATGTTCAAGATAATTTACCAATTATTTAGATTAATAGTGCAAAAAAGCTTGAAAAAAAAAAAAAACATTACTTTTACATTACTATCAGTAAAAAAAAAAAAAAAAAAGAGAAGAATATTTTAGTAAACTTAAAAGTGAAAAAAAAATTATGGTTAAAGTTACAAAACAATTTATTGTTCTTACTTTTGTTTCTTTATTACTCTTGAGAAAGAGCAACGAAGAAGAATTGTATGACTCTGAGAGGTTGTAATTGAAGGATTTTTTTAATACCGACATTAAGCTTCAAAATTAGTGACAGACTTAGTCGATTTTTTTTGGACAAACTGCTTTATAAGGTGTTTTTTTTTTTCTTTCTTACTTTCTAGAAATGTGTTGTTGAAAAGAGTGAAAAAGGAGAGAGGAGGGGTGAAGAAGGGAAATAATAATTTTTAAAGATAAATTTCTTCTTTTAATCTTTTATAGTCTTTAACAATTTCAGATGTCAATAGTTATGTTTACAAGTA